AGACCATAACGGCAGAACCTTTTCTCAAACCATGACTTCTTGCCTCGAATCCTTCTTACGTACCCCCAACCCTTCTCACTTCCTGCTATTTGTACACCTGCACTGGACACCCATAACACTGCACATTACCAAGGCCCTCATCAAAGGAGGGCCACTGTAAAAATCCTGCAAATAGATGCCCAGCATGGATGGGGCACTTAGTACACTCTGAACTGGTGGACCACATGGGGAGTCAACAAGCATTTTCTGTAGAGCGCCAGAGAGGAAACCTTATAGGCTCTGCAGGCCACGGGGTCTCTGTCACTGCTGCACAAACGCCCAAGTAGACAATACACAAACTAATGGGGCAGCTGCGTTCCAATAAATCTTTATTGACAAAAGCTGGCAGCAGGTTAGATTTAGCCTATGGGCCTTTGTTTGCCAAACCCTTGGGCTGCAATAACTCTGAGAAAAGTCTTGAAGTCAAAAACATGAACACTTCCTTTTAGAAGCAGGATCCCAGCAACTCTTCATTAACACATCTACCCAGGCATAGTTATCCCTCTTCCTCCACTGGCCTCTGATTAAGACCCCCCCAACCCCCCCTCCAGAGGGAACCTGGAGCAATTCCCCTCAACTGCAATTCTTCTGAAAGACAAAGCAGGGCAGAGATTGGGCCTGACCCCAGGCCTTTGTGCCATACCCAGCTACCAGGGCTCTCTTCCAATCGCACCAAGTTTTCTGCAAACCTAATAAGAGAATAGGACTCTTCTTTCACTCAACAGTCTTCTAGTGGGGCCTGAGGGCCCGCTCCACTGAAGGCCTCCCTGAATCGCCGGCTCAAAGGAGACAATGTGCCTGGCACCACAGAACCTTTTGCATGTACAGCTACACAATCCTTTTCATTTTGTTTCTCAAGCACCCATGGCACCCATCCATGCATTAGGCTAATCACTGCATGAATCTAGCTAAAAGAAACTAAGCAATTATTTTAATTAGAATGCTCCTGGATTCTGTTTTAAGGGGCAAGAAGGAAGTAGCCAGGGCTCAAAAAGATCCCACAAAATATTTTTGTGAAAGGAAAAATAATTAAGGCCAAATTTAGAATGTACTTGCAATAAATGGTCCAAATAAAATGAATGGCACCACTGTGCAACTAAAACCCATTCATATGTAAGAGCCCAGAAACTCCATTTTTATGTGATATCATTCTGACAGTATAGCCAATTTTACAATGTGAAAGTGAATATCTAGTAGAGACTTTAATGATCCTCCTGAATCTCTCACACAATTTCTTACAGAGCCTCTGTGTAAACTCTTTTATTAATCACAGAAAAGAAGGATATTAGCCAATTCACCCTTTAAATATGATTATTTTTCATTTAAATTTTAGAGTAAATTGTTCAGATGTATTTTTCTGGAAGAATCTATCTTTATAGAAAAGCCTTGTTACTCATCTATTCTACAGAAAAGCAGATTCCACCATAGAGACTTTTAATCACCTATGTGACTTTTAGTCACATAGGAAGAGATTGTGCCTGCCGACTGTCCATAGCCTTTGCTTTCCTGCCTCGCTCTGGTCATGAGTGGCATTGTGGCCATTTTATGTCATCTCAAGCTTTCAAAAAGAAATGGAGTGAAATTCAAACTAGTCAACTAGTCGACGTTATTCCTTCTGTTTGAATTTGTAAGTGTCTTTTAGCACCTATTGTCCACCAGCACACAGCAAGTTATGGACACTCCTGGATGACTACAACCTAGACCTTCCCTGCAAGGAGTTCATAGTCTGATCACAGAGACAGAGACATGGGCAGAAAGAAGACCACAGCCCAGGGATCTGGCCTGAGTTGATTGTTAAAGAATGGATTGTCCAGGAGAAAGGCATGGGCAATCTGTTCCAGGGAGAAAGAGCAGCATACGCAAAAGCTGGGACACCAACAATCCCAGGTGATATGAGAACTGCGAGCAGATGGAGCTGCTGGTGATGAAGCTGAAGGTTGGAGCAGGGCAGAGAACAGGCTGGAGTGGGAAGCAGGAGCCAGATGGCCAAGAACTTGGGTGCCACATCCATGAGCCTTGGCTGCATCTTGTAAAGCAATGCGGAGCCACCAGTTTTCCACAGGGACTAATGGGCAGTTTTCCATTTTCAGTGCTTGGAATGCTGACAAGACGAAGAAATGGAGACTCGGTGTCCCACACATGCCACAGCCCAGGCGAGAGGTGAAGTAGGAATAGAAAGATGGGGTGAGGTATGTGATTACAGTGTTGAAGGAGATTTTTATAAACCTCTGTGGAACAGTGAATGGAGTGGTCAAAAGTAGGACATGAAATTGGCTTTGGAGATTCTCAGTGGGGAGGAAGTGTTTTAACTGAATGCTTGTCATATGTCCACAAAGCTCCCCCTCTTCTAGGTTCTCCTTAAACCCAGGTGGACCTTGATCATGGGTTCCGGGATTGAGATGCTGCAGATATCTCAGCGGGGCCCACGAGCAGACTGCTGCATGCCATGTGAAAACTCCTAGAATAGAGTGCAACTTCTACTAACTTTCTTCTGCAAAACTCACACAGAAACATTTTCCTGCCGTAAGTCTAAGTCAAAATAAACAGAAGCCTGGAACAAAAGAAATATGGTGAATACTGACTGTGAGGGTTAATTTTCTGTCAACTTGACTGGGTTCGGTGATGCCCAGGTAGCTGTTAAGCGTTATTCCTGGTGTGTCTGGGAGGGTGCTCTGGAGGAGACTGGCAGTTAAACTGATGGACTGAGTGAAGATGGCTCCCCAATGTGCTGGGTATCATGACATCCAGTGAAGGCCTGGACAGATCAGAAAGGCTGAGAAAGTGTGCATTTTCCCTCTTTGCTTAAGCAGGATATTCATTTTCTCCTGTCCTTGAACATTAAATCTTCTGGTTCTTGGGCCCTCAGAATCCAACCAGGACTGATTCTATCTCCCCCACCACACAGTCTGATCACCCCACCCCCGCTCCCCAGCCTGCTATCCTCAGGCCTTCCGACTTGCACTCAGTTATACCACCAGTGTCCCTGGTTCTCCAGCCTGCAGACAACATATCATGGGACTCCCCGCCTCTGTTATTATGCTAACCAACCCCTGCAGTAAATCTCCTCATACCTATATCTATCCTACTGGTTCTGTTTCTCTGGAGAACCCTGACTAATATACTTAAGAAAAGCTATAAATTTTTAATTACCATATTTACATTAGACTCATTCATATTTTTGCTTTTAAAGAATATAAAGAGGATACATCTCTCCTGATTTTATGAGCCAGCTAAACCTTCATAATACACCTGACAGGGTCATTACACTAAAGGGAAATTACAGGTAAATTTCATTCATACATGTGTTGTAAATATTATCAAAACATTCAGTAATATATTCAATAAATAATACATCACACCCAAGTTGGGTTTAGTCCAGAAATTCAAGATTGGGTTAATGCCCTAGCTGGTTTGGCTCGATAGATAAAGCCTCGGCCTGAGGCCTGAAGGCTCCCAGTTTCGATTCCGGTCAAAGGCACATGCCTGGGTTGTGGGCTCAATTCCCAGGGGGGGCATGCAGGAAGCAGCTGATCAATGATGTTTGATCATTATTGATGCTTTCTCATTATTGATGTTTCTGACTCTCTCTCCCTCTCCCTTCCTCTCTGAAATCAATAAAAATATGTATTAAAAACAAGATTGGGTTATCATTTAAAAGCCTATTGAATAATTCATCACACTAAGAGAATAAGGGAGAAAAGTCATATAATCATTCTACAAATAAGTGAGTTCTTAATTTATGACAAAAGTCTCACTTCAGAACACTGGGGAAAGGAAATCTTTTCCATTAATGGTATAGGGTAAGTAGGTATCTTGGGGGGAAAAAACTTGATCCCAACCTCACATCATATACAAAATCAATGTCACTGGATTATAGATATAATCTATAAGTAAATAAAATGTAACCTACAGTGGTTCTCAACCTGTGGGCCGTGACCCCTGAAAATACATCCTGCATATCAGATATTTACATTATGATTCATAACAGTAGCAAAATTACAGTTATGATGTAGCAACGAAAATAATTTTATGGTTGGGGGTCACCACAACATGAGGAACTGTACTAAAGGGTCGCGGCATTAGGAAGGTTGAGAACCACTGCAATAAGTAATCTATAGATGTAAATGGAAGAGAAGAAACCATAAAGCTTCCAGAAAATAATGTAAAAAGATATTTCCATGGCCACAAAGTTCTCTTGAAAAGGACACAGAAAGCACTACCTATAAAGAAAAATTGGAAAATTAGATGACATTAAAATTAAAAATATTCTGTTCATCCAAAGATACCATAAAGAGTGAAAAGTCAAGCTCAGGGTGGTATATGATACTTGCAATAAATATATCTAAAAAAGGATTATATCCAGATTGTGTAAATATCTCCTACAAATCAGTAATATAAACAATACAATAGATAAATTAACAAGACACTTGAAAAACCCATTCACAAAATAGCCAAATGGCCAATACACATGAAAAGATGCTCAACTTATTAATAACCTGGAAGTCAAATTAAACCCACAATGAGATTCAACTCCAAACCACCAAAAAGACCAAAATAAAAGACTGAGAATATCAGATGTCAACAGGATGTAGAGCAGCCTGACTTCTGCCCACTGCTGGTGGAAGTTGTTTCTAAGGAAACAACTTCCTTAGAAAGCTATTTGACACTATTACAGCTGAGCACAGTCACACAGTGCAACTCAGGGGGCTACCCGGCAGTCAACGAGCCCAACAGAAATGCACGCACACACCCTCCAAAGGCGTGCGGGGGAGTTGGCCACCACACTGTCTAAACAGCCTAGAACTGAAAACAACCCAAATGCCGGTCAAGGGTGAAATAGGTAAGCTGCGGTACATTACTGACACAGCAGAAGGAAAACATACTATCATCACACCCAACAGCACAGGCACAACTCACAAGCATAATGTTGACAGACTCAAACCAGACAAAAGAGCACCTACCTTAGGACTCCATTTATAAGCCACTCAAAAACAAAACAAAGCTCTGGCTTCAGAAATCAGGGCAGTGGTTATCTCGGAAGGGGAGGCCATCCCGGCCACGGAGGGCTGGCTCAGTTCTCCTTGCCCCGGTGCTTGCAGGATGTGCAGGGAAGCCATCAAGTCCAAGCTTCTGCTCTTCGCAATCCTGGAGCCCCAGCAATGCTTGGAAACTAGTTTCAAATGCTGATTTCTATTCCTGACGTGAAGTAAATGGAGGGCTTGCACGGAACATACCACAGAAGATCTTTATGAAAATCGGTCAGTGGCTGTTCCCTGTGCTCAGCTGGCTCCCCGGACGTCGCGTACAGAGCAGAAGAGAGCAAGAACCACACGGATGGCAGGTCGATGAGTGTCACTGGCCCCCTTTGCAGTTTAGCTGAGCGGTGAGCAATGTGTGAGGAGGAAAAAAGAAAAGTTGAAGGCGCAATGTGCAAAATAATGACAATGAAGGGCCTCACCTTTTTATATAAAGAAGGATTAAAGATAAATTTAGACTGGCTACAAGGAAATGCTGTCTTATGAAAAGTATAATTAACCTGTAGCCAATGGGTTAGTAAAATCCAACTCCTCCCTCTAAAGAAAAAAAAAAGAAGAAGCAGAAGCTATTTATAGTATTTACAGTAGCCAAACAGGCATCTTCAGTTACTCGGACCAATATTGTCTTACAAAGGCTCCCAGCCTCCAGGCCTGACCATGGCTGGCTGGGGCCAGGAAGGAAGGCTCGCTTTGGTGTAGCGTTTCACAGCTCTGCTACCTAATATTGGCCCATCGGAGGGGCTTCGCAGCGTCTGCACCTCCGCCGGCACCTGGCCTGGGGTGCAGGGGCTGCACTGAAACGGGCTCTTGTTTTACTTCAGGGTGGTAACACCTGTAGGCCTGTATTCAGGCAACGCCTTGCGTTTCCAGAAGGAAACACAATGAATATCGTCAAAATTGTTCCTCACACAACTGTTTTTGTATCAACTACCCAGAAATATATGGGTGGTCTCAATATATGTGTGAAATAAACAGAGCAGGTATGCCTACACTGAGGTAATTCCGAAAACATTTAGCAGCTTGAATTTCAAAGGCGCATTTTTAGGAAAGAAAAACACAGAGATCATTCATCAAGGTGATTGTCCTGTGCACTTGTGTACCTTGTATAATTTATTTTTAGGGCTTTTTATTTCAAAGAAATACTAGCTAATGACACCTCAGACTTCAGGCATTTTTCTGATCGCTCACCGGGTTCCCTCAGGGACGGAGTTGTGAATAAGTGGGGTTTTTAAAAGATCATTAACAGATATTACAAACCAATTCAAATTGAGCATTTTCTTTGCAAATTACTTTAACTTTTAAAGCTACCAGAAAAAAAAAGACAGTGAGTGATATAATTTACTTAACCTGTCTACAAATTGCAGATTTGTGCTCAATTGGCGATTGCATTTCCAACCAAAAATATCTGCAACTCTCTGTAATAGAGATATTTTTCAAAATTATCACACTCAATGGGTGATATTTCAAAGGATAGTAATGTTTATTTTTTATTTAGCAAGTTGCCCTGGAATTGAGAATGTTTGTTTTACTGATGTGTTTAAAGTAAAAACAGAGCCTGCATTGTCTGCATCCGCTGCTTAATTAAACTCCCAGGCAATTAGCAGGCTCATCACTTCCCCAGCAAATGGAAGGTGGAGCTTGGGAGGTAGATGGTGGGGTTTCTTGGGGGGGTCTTTTATTTAATAATAAAACCATACTTTCTGCTAATATTTGGGGTGAGAAGCACCACTATTCCCCCATGTACATCAGGCCTGACTCTTTCTTGCATCAAAGAGCTCCCGTGGACTTCAAAAGGAGTCGCCTACAGAGCCGGCTGCGTGGGAGTCCGACAGGCTCCAGAACAGGCCCAGCGCCGGGAGGAACCAGGCCAGGACAGGCTCATGCCAGAGCCCCCAAACCAGGCCACAAGCCCACCGGCTCCGGCCTCCGCCACGCCACAGCGCACGGGAGATGTCCTGCGCTGGCCCAGCGCGGCACTGGCTTCTGGGCCATGGCTTATGAATATTTCATGAGTAGTGTTCTATTTATAAGAAAGTATGTTAATAAGAATATTCTTTGAAATGGGAGTCCAATGCAGGCTTTGAAAAGGCTCATTGTTTGAGGTACCACAGGTTTCCTTCTTTCCCTTTTAAAGTGCAAAGTCAACTCACCACAAACCAAACAAAGGACCCTAACATCCTTCCGGTGTCCTGTGGTGAAAATGAGTGGGATTCTACTCTAAAGGAGAAGCTATTTGGGGAGGATTCATTAGCTTATTGACTGTAGAGGGTCATAGAAACTAATGTTTCTTGTGTGTCCCTCGTGTGCCAGACATTTCAGTTCCCCTCTGTGAATCGTCACCAGCACTCCATGAGCCTGCCTCTGCACCACCCCCTTTAAAGATGGAGAAACAGGCCTCAGGGTGATCACGAAAAGTGTCTATTCCGAAGTCCCACATCAGTAAGTGCAGAGCTGATCCGGAACCCACCTGTACCCAGCCCCACGCCCATGTCTGTTTCTCTCCCTCACACTAACTCCCAGCTGTTTGCCAATTTCAAGTGTCCAGTTCACATCTGGCGGCAGCTGCCATTTTTCTGAAGAGGTAGGACTCAAAGATGATGGGTTCCTTCCATTCCAGCTCAGACAGGGAATACTGTATTCCACATGCTGATAATTAAGTTGCAAAGGAATGGTTTTGCCCCAAGAACTGCCTGTGGGATTCTGAGAGGAAACGCAGATCTACAGAAACGAGTCTGAATGCCACGGATGTGTCCCAAATGCTAAAACGGCTCTCCGCACCACAGACAACAAAGGTGATTCTAGTGACCCACAGCAGGCTCATTGGACGCAAGTTCAAGGAAGAGGAGGAGAACAGGCAAGGGATCCAGGATGACAAAGGACCCAAATGCTAATCTACATTGAGGTGACACCTAAAAAATCCTCACACCTCCACGTCATTAACTGGAATGGGAGGAGAACAAGGGACCTTCCACTGACCACCTCAGGCTCCTCAAGACTTGGGAGCCTCATCAGGTGTGGGATTCAGGGCCATAGAGTGAGATCTGTGGGCTGTTCCTTATCTCCCTGGGGCGCAGACCCCGGCCAGGGGCTCCTTCCCCAGCCAGGGGCTCCTTCCTGTTCCACCACGCCAGCAGCAGGAGCCCCTGAGGCCCAGGAGCCATGTGGCTCCCTGTGCCATGGCGGCCACCGTCGGCCCTGGACTCACAGCTCACCCGGACAGAGGCCCTGCTCCTGGGACTGCTCGCAGGGCCACCAGGTCTTCCCACTTCTCCGCCATCCACAGCAGGGAGACAGCGGGGTGCTGCCAGCTCAGCCTGGCGTGCTGGGTGATGCCAAAGGTGGGACGTGACCGTGTATAACAGCACTTCCCGCGACCCCTGCAGCAGGGCGTCTCATTAACCTTTGCTGTGACTCCAGGCGCGGTGCTCAGCACCAGACTTGGGACTGTGTTCTCATCACTGTAACGCGGTCTTTCGGAGAAAATTACACTACATGAAGGATGTTTTGTGTGATAGAAGTCAAAACCAAAGTTTAAAAATCAAGTAAGATGTGTTCTGAGCATGGAACATCGCCTTTTAAAACAGACTTTGCACTCACTCAACAAACCCTGACACACGCTGAGTTCAGGCTCAGCCTCCGCTGCCTGATGTTGGTCTGAGCACACGTACTGGCCTCCATACCTAGGGCAACAGCGAACTCCTAAACATGCACCACGCTGAGACCTGGCATGCCCCATGCCTGCTGGCCTCTCAGACCGCATCCTGACCAGCTCCCCACCGCACGGCTCTGCGCGTTCCTGGGAGAGTCCGAGCTGGAGTCCGCGGGGTCTCCATCCAGGGCCTGGTGTTCACCGATGGTCCCAGCTCTTCTCTCCTGGTTTGGCTCACAGGGCCTCTGGCAGGCTCCTGCCACTGCCTCCGCTGCCACATACCGTGATGCTCCCACTCCCGCCGCAGCACAGCTGTGGGCTCCAGAAAGTCAGGATCATCCTGTCCCTTTCCTTGGTCCCCAAGCCCAGCACAGGCCTGGCATGAGGAGGACACGCAAACCACCTTGCCTAACAGCTTCGCCTGCTTCACCTAACAGCTTCACCTGCTGTGAAAGAACACAAGCCCAGTCAGATGCTCTGCTGCAGCCCTTGAACAGGAGGAGAAGTTCTCACTTTTCCTCCCCTGCCCCCACCCCCAGCTCCAATGCTTTCTGGCATTAGCCCAACCTCCCCCCTCCCACTCCACTCCCACAAGGTGCGGAGCGCCTGACCTGGAGGGGAGGCCTGCGCACTCCTGGCCTGGTAAACATCCTGCCTGCTGCCAGGGTCCTGCCACCATGGAGGCACTGCTTTCCCCCTACTTCCGTCCTATGTGTGCAGTGGGTGGTGATGGTGGGTGCCCTGTGGGCCCATGAGGGACTCTCACAAGCTTCCCGGGGCCTCTGTCTGAGCTGGGGCCCCAGTGACAGCCCAGAACTTCAGCGCCTGTGGCTGAGCCATCCCACCCACGCTGCAGCCTGGGGAGTGCAGGCTACATGCACCATGTGGACATCATTGTTGGTCTTAAATATTGGATCATTTCCAAATTAGAGAAGTAACATACTAGTTGTAACAAGCAAAACACTTAAAAATGTGAACAAAAGCAAAGATGATTCTTTCTCCCTGTCCCCCCTCATTACCATGCCTGTATTCATGTTACTTATGTAATTACTAGTGACCCTGTGCACGGATTCCTGCACATTGAAAGGAAATCGGGAGCCCATGTGCCCAGGGAGTTTACACTCCCCTGAGCCACTGGGAAGTCGCAAGGACAGTCTGTCCTCCTCCTGCAGCTTCCTGAAAACATATTTCCAAATGTCCCTTCTGCGGCCTGGGTCGCACCTTGCCGGCCGGGAGCTCCCCAGTGGACACCTTGGGCCATGCTGGATGCTTTGCACCACTTGGAGCCAGAGAAGAGACATTCAGAGGTGAACAATTCAAAGTTGGGGACCTTGGAGGACCCGGGTGCTCTGTTGCCCATGCCCTCACCCTTCAGATTCATCTCTCTTAGACTTTCACCCCCATTGTCAGTCACCACCTTGTGGCCACTGTCATATTGCTGCCTTCCTCTGTAGCTCTGGGGCAATTGGTAAGGGATGAGATTTGATCTCCATGCCCTAGGCAGAGTTCCAGGAGCCCAGCGGTGATATCAGGCTCATCCTGGTTATTCCGGAGATTGTAACTGCAGGCTTATGAGGTACAAGGGATATAGCATTAAACAGCAGGCGGCTGGAGAGGAACCCAAGCCGGGCCAGGCACTGTGCCACTCCTGCTCACTCCAGCCCTGTTGCGCCTGTCACCGCCCACCAGTGCCCCCCACCATCACTTGGTAGCACTGCTGCGGTAGCACTGAGTGGCACTCCAGCTGTGGGAGCACGCTGACCACCAGGGGACAGTTCCTGCATTGAGCGCCTGCCCCCTGGTGGTCAGTGAGTGTCATAGTGACTGGTCAAGTGGTCATTCCAGTTGTTCGGGTCATTTGGTCATAATGGTGGCTTAGGCTTTTATATATATAGACTAGATGCCTGATGCATGAAATTCATGCATGGGGGCGGGGGGTGTTCCTCAGCCCGGCCTGTGCCCTCCCAAGTCTAGGAGCCCCATGATCCATTGCCCCACAGAGGGAGGTCCCGCCCACCCACCATAGCGCTGCAGGCCAGGTAGCCTGGGCCCCCCTCTGCGGGGCAATCAATCATGGGGCTCCAAATCCATCCCCCCAAAGAGGTATGCTTATCCAGCCGGCAGGGACTTCGTGATGGATCGCCCCGAAGAAATAGGCCCTGGCCACCCAGCCAGGGCTCTGCAATGGATCACCCCCATAGAGGAGGTCCTGCCCAGCACTGCCGTGGTCCTCAGGCCAGGCTCCGCCGCAGCACTGCTGTGGGGTAGCCTGGGCTTCCCTCTTTGGGGCGATCATGGAGCCCCGATTGACCGCCCTGCTGGCCAGTGGCCTGGGCCTCCCTCTGCAGGGTGATCATGGGGTGATGGCGGGGCCCCTGACCAAGCGCATCGCACCCACCTTGGCTGGCCTGGCGCCAGTGGGTGTCATAGCGTGGTCATCCAGACGGTCGTTCCGCTGTTCGGCTGTTTGGTCGACTTGCATATTATGCTTTTATTATTATAGATATAATGTAATATATGCATAATCTATTCATTTATAATCATATGTGAATACACATGAATATAAAATTATGTTGTGTAAAATTTTACACGAGTGAGGAATTTTAGGACAGCATTTTATCTTATTTAATCACCACCCATCTCGGTATCTTGCTTGCCTTTCCAGGTATGGTTACTCCAGGACTTCCAGGAGAGCGCAGGTGAGCCTGGCCTGAGGACCACACCTGTGTGCAGGACACCAGCTTTCCTTCTGCCTTAAACACACCTGCACAGTCACCCTGGAATTCAGGTGAGTCCTCCGAGGAGTGACTCTGCTGCTGTTTTCTCTTCTCAGTTGCTGGTTTGGGGACATTTCAGGGAGGCCTTTTCCCCTCTCCCTGCACCCCACCCCCAGAGCACAGACCACCCGGGTGGACTGGTTTCCCATTCCTCCTGCCCTCTTGCTTCCTTGCTTCTAATTGGCTCAAATTTCAAGCCTGACAGCCCCTGTATTATTTCTGACCTTGTCTATTTCCAGTGACTTTCTCAAAATAACAAATCTCCAGGCAAGGCCTATTTCCCTTTCTCTACCGGTGCCTCTCCCCAGCCCTCCTCCTTAAAGCTAACCCAAGCCTTTGCTTGGTAGCATTTACTTAGCCCATCTGTCTGCAAGTGCCTGTTCCTACTAGCCCTCACCCTACCAGGTCACAAACTACCTCAACACACCTGTGTATTGCCTTGTAGGTTTCAAACATATACAAATAGATTACTTCACCTAATTCTTACAACAGCCCTATGAAATAGAGAGAGGAAGTATGTTGGCCCCCAAACTATATGGACCTTAAAAGATATTAACAAGCAATTTGCAAGAAAACATTAAAATGACCACATGAAAAATCACTGTTTTACTGTTAATAAAAGGAACGTGCCCAGCCGGTGTGGCTCAGTGGACTGAGCACCATCCCATGCACCAACAGACCAGCTGTTCCATGCCAGGGCAGGGCACATGCCCAGTAGGGGGTGGTATGGAGGCAGCCAATCAATGTTTCTATCTCTTTCCTTCTCCATTTCTCTCTCTCTCTAAAAATCAATTTTAAAAAGACATATTTTAAAAAATACAAAGCATAAGAACATTGATATACTCTTTGCCTATGAATTAACAAATATTTAAAAGAATGATAATATGGCCTGTTGAGCAAGGAGAGGGGCAGTACATTAGGTCGCTCCAGGTAGGAGCACGCATGGGGGCACCGCTCTGACCGAAAGCTTGCCAACATGGAGTGAACCAGAAGACCATGGAGCATGCAGTTCCTCTTGTAGGAATTTATCCCAAGGAGATCAACAAAGCTAGGGAGAAAGTTCAGCTGCAAGGACACTGTAATATGTGACTGATTAAGTTGAAGTCATGCAATAAAATGCTCTGAAAAAAAATTAAAATAATGTGAAGAATCTATACTATATTTCAAAACTTTCTGATATAAGTAAAAACAATTATACAATAATACTTATTGTCTAAGTCCCTAAGTCATACATAATAGATATGCATATAGATATAAATATAACACACCCCCAGATGTCAAGAAAGGCTATGTCCAAGTGATGGCATTATGGGTGGTTTTATTTTCTTAATTTCTGCTCACCTCTATCTTCTAAATTATTTTCAATAACTGTGTATAATTTTGTAAAGGGAAAAATAAGAAAATGATAACATTTGAAAAAATGCCTTTGTCTCAGTGGAATCAGTTCTACATTTGATTCTTTCGTCCACTCACTCATTCTTCCAACAAATATTTAGTGAACTCCTTCCACATACAAAGCATTCTTCTGAGTGATAAGGATCCAGTAATTAACTTTTTTTAAAATTGAAGGATAAAAAGTGGTGGCCTCTGCCATGGAGCAGGTGTTCTTGGTGAATGGAGAGAGCCAGGGCGGGGGGCGGGGGGAGAACAGTGAACACACCGGGCGTAAGGGGAGCTCTTAGACATTCTCTCCCCTGAACCCAAACGGGGCCTCAGAGGGCACCGATGCATCTGGTCATTCTGGAGACACCTGGCCTGGGAGAGACTGGATCTGAAAAAGTGGTTTCTGAGAGTGCTCTTGAAGCTCATAGCTACTGTGTCTCTGGCCAACTTGAGACAATTGGCTGCAGTGGCCTGGCTGTGGGAGAAATGGGTCAGTACCATGGGTTGCATGACTACAGACAGTAACTGGAATGCCCCAAATGATCCATCTCATATATAAGTGATTAGTGAAAACACAACCCCCGCCCCAAAGTGTCCCTCTGAGTCTGTCCCCTGGATGAGCGTGGGCCTCCTACTCTTCCTGGGTGATCCTCTCCTAAACTTGCACGCGTGGAAGTGTGGCACTCTGGGTCCCATTGGTTTTCCCATGGGAACACTCCTCCCCGAAGCAAAGGCCGCCTGTGACCAGTGTTGACTGGAGGCCTGGCTGGAGGTGGGAGGGGACTCGGAGAGTGAACCAGTCCTCCTGGTCACAGGGTTCCAATCAGCTGAGCCACAGGCACCCACCTCCCACCGCACTGAAGCAGTCGTTGCTAAATGTTAATTCTTAGATTAACTACAAATGAGTCGAGCTCCTCATGGGAGAAATGAGCGAATCTGGGTCATCTGCAGGTGATCCCTTTGGTTGCCGGGAAGACATAATTTTGGCATCTGAAGATGCTACTCCTCGGGGTCTGTCCTGAGTGGATTTTTAGCGATATCCTGAGCAGGAGACTTTCAAGAAAAAGCGAATGGTGTCATTCCTGCGCTTGCAAAACACTGCACAGTGATTTTCATATCAATTCCACCATAGTTTCTATTTCAAAATCAGGCACAAAACCTGTGCAGCAACATGAAGGAAAGGTTTCCACAGTCAGCCAGAGATGGCCCTGTTAGAGAGGGAAGGGCCGGACCCCGACCCCCTCCCCATCCTCAGAACCCTAATTCCTGTGGAGAGAGACCCTTGCCTCCCTTGGGGAGAGGAGACCCGCCCCGCAGCCTGGCTCTAGGCTGGCTGCCACCCGCTCCACCCTGCCCTCTTCCCTCAGCCCAGCCGTCCCCAAGGAGCCGGCCGGCTTTAGAAATAGCAAATATGGTTTGGAACAAAGTTTTGACACTGACTCGGTATCCTGTGCTCATATTACATTCCTATGAATATTCCACTGACTTTTCAGCTCTGAAGAACAGTTTCCGCTCTGAGGCTATGTCAGCTCCAGTTGCTCCCACCCTGACAGCGATCTTTGAAACTGATATGGCACTGAAAGAGCCAGAATAACTTTTTAAAAATATTAGTAATGGGCTAGGTTCCCAGTCTTTGTAATCTTGAGGAAGGAACCCTGTGAGAGGCGCCCTAGGAACTGAGCTGAGCGTGGGCCCATGGAGAAGCGGCTCTCAACGTCAGGGCTGCTCTGCAGGAGAACTTCTGTGAAGAGGAAAAGGAAGAGAATCTACCCTTGCATTTTGCATGTATCACCTTCTGTCCCAGGAGCTTGACGACCATCTTTCAATACCCTCGCCGCTGCTTTCTGTGAGAGAAACCCATCACCTCCGGGGGCGAGACCAGCCTGCCGTCTCAGGGGCACCCCAGTTCTGCCGTGTGCCACAGGGCCTGGGGAAAGTAAGGCATCTTCTTTGAGTTGTCAGTTTCCTCGCCTGTAAAATGTAAAACAGTAACTGTCTTCACATGCAATAATGATGGAAAATTCTTTATCTGTCGCCTGGAACATAGGAGCGACTTATGGAAACCTAACTGCTGCCGCTACTACCCGCCTCCTGAGAAAAGCATGGTGTCTGTGGAGTGTGTCTGCCCTTCCTTTATAAATCTCAAATGAAAATGAAGTCCTACAGTTAGGATTACACTGGCCACAACCAAGCTAAAATAGTGCACTGATTCAAATAGCTAAGAGCTGGCTGCTTAAAATGAAAATAGCTAGCCCTGATTTCTAAATAATGCCTTTAAAAATGTTTTCTTATACTTGTATGCATCTATGCATAACCCACAGGTACAGACAATAGTGCAGGGAAGGCCTGGGGTGGGGCAGGAGCCGGGTAGAAAAGGGTAAGGGGGGAAATGGAGGACATCTCAACAACAAAGATAAATTTCTAAAATAATAATAAAAATAAATGTTTTTTTATGGAACACATTTAAGATACGGCGTAAGGAGCTTTCCAAATTGGCATGATCAAAATATCTGATATTCGCATCATAATTCCCTACAACATACCAAAATTTTGTTCAACCTAAGGATTCTCAGGAATTTCAAAATTTGAATCTATAAAAAATTCCACAATTCAAATAAAATCAGACTAAGTATATTTTTATCTGAAAATACAATCTGAGACAACCCCATCTTATATTGAAGGAACAGGCTTATAAGCATTTTATAAGTTGCAACTTAAAACTTCTACTCAAGTTCAAGTTGACAGTTAGGATAAATAGAAACTAAATTGTTGAATTGTATCTGTCTTAGAGTTGTGGGCTGGATTTGCCACTCTAATCTCCAGAAGGGAATATTAGTTCAATAAAATAAACATTTTTAATTTCCTCTATGTTATTCCTCAAACCATGCCAACGCACTCATCTAATGGCTCACTTAAAGGATTTGTGAAGCAGCCCCCAACTTGCTTAAAAGAGAAGGTTTGATTGTCGTATGACAATGAAGGGCAGGATGTGAGTGCTCATTGTTTTAATGCAATGAGCCCTTAATCGCTTCCAGTCTGATTCATCAGAAATGTGGTACTCTTGGGGGATTTTTTTGGTCACTAAATATTGTCTTTCATTTTAAGATATTTATTTCTTGCCAGAAAATGATTTTGTATTTTTCCCCTAATGATGAAGGATGAAAGATGGAGAGAATTCCATTCGGTAATTAAGGAACCACGAAAAAGTAAACTGACTCAGAAAACAAATGCCCAAAAGAAAAATAAAACGTATTATATGAGATGGAAGCAGTGAATTCTTGGCAAATATTCAATTGGAGCCAGGATTGGTAATTTAATAATATCCTTGTTTTGTTAATATTGGGGGTGGGGGAATTAAGCTCTAGGGCTTTAGCTCTGCACCACTACCTCAGCCAGCAAGGGGGTTTAAAGACACAAATGCCTGGAGGCTTTCAAAGGTTTGTTAAACCTACACAGGCCCTGGGTGAGGTCCACGCCGGAGGTCAGGGCAGAACCTGATCTCTAAGCTCAGGAGGCACTGAAAATCCCCTCAGGATGCCTGCTCCAAACACTGCTCCCAGCGGCTGCGCATCACACCCAAATCAGAGCAGACAGATGGGTTCCTGAGGTGGGACCTGCAGATTGCAACCTGCCGAGTTATTCTGATTCCCTGGCTCATGGTGCCACTTCATTTTGGACTGGTCTGTCGAGCTTCCC